ATTCCATTCGAAAGGCCAAAAATGTCGTATTTGGGACCTTTTTTCTAATCCTTAAAAGATTTTAGGGTTACCTCTTCAGAGGGAGGAATGTTAGAGTAGCCAAAAGTCCCATAAAAATAAATAAATCAAAGAAGAAATAGTGCATGAAGTTATCAGAAAAAAGTGATGTGTAGATATGGGAGGATCTGGAGGCAAGGGAGTGGGCATGGATTTGATCAAAACACCATATATGCGTGTATGAAATTCTCAATAAATTATTCTTTACAAAAAAGGAAAAGAAAAAAAGAAGGGGGGAGTCAGTTACCACTCCCACCCAGTCATTCGACCGGAACTGCAAGTTGGGAGAGGAGCAAAGGATATAGAAACTGAGAACACCAAGAGGCACCTCTCTCACCATTTTGTGCAGCTGTTGAGTGGCCACAGGATCTTTATTTGAGTGTGGACTTTACAGCACAGCCATAAATGTGGGGCACCCACTCTTCTGTAAATAAACCCCTACCCTATGTAAGATTTAAAATGTAGGTATATTTTGGAATGCAACTGATTAGGATATGTGTGTATTAAATATATTACAAATAAAAACAAAATTATTGGGGGATCAGTGGTTAACAGCACTGACTGCTCTCACAGAGGACCCAGGTTCAGTTCCCAGCACCCATATGGCAGCTAACAACCATCTGTACCTCCAGTTCCAGGGATCCAATGCCCTCTTCTGATCTCCATGGGCACTGCACAACACAGGTGCACTTACACACATGCAGGCAATACACTCATACACATAAAAAATAAAAATAATAAATAAAATATTTTTAGAAGAACAAAATTATTAACCATGAGAAAATATGAAAAAATATTTTATTTTAGCAGCAAACTCTTACCAGTTTTAAAATATTGTGGCATCACTTGCAGATTTTTAAATATGTGGAATTTATGTATTAGTCTGCATAAGCTGCTCCTTATAATTATTTTCAGTAGAAATTATCAGCAAATTGCATAATTAACCATATGGATATAGAAGTCCTCGATTGTCCCTTCATACGCTTCAAAGAGAAAGCAAAACCCTTTAAAAACCCTATGTATTATAGAAAAAAAAGTTGTCATTTGTTTGAAACAGATTGCACTACACAATGTTAATATAGCTAATAGAGAAATTACACAATTTGTCATGATTTCTTTCATAAAATGCTACA